GGGGATGGGGGTGGGAGGGATACTGGGATCATTAGTGGTGGAGATTGGGCACTGGTGGAGGCATGGGTACTCGATTATTATATAACTGAAACCCAAGCACAAAAATTTCTTAAGTCTAAAAAAAAAAGGAGGCAGGTTTTTGGAAGTAAATTAAATGCTTCTGTTTTCTTCAGTGTTTCTTAAATTCTGTCATTACTCTGGCTTTCAACAGAGCTCTTGCCCCCACGAGCTAACTATGTGGCTAGCTTAAGATTTAGAATAAAATTAGAAATAATCCCAGATGGGGGCAGCATCTGGGGGAGTCCCCAGAGTATTCTGCTTGTGTGTGGACATCAGTTGATGTAGTGAGCACATGCTGAATTTCATGGATTGGACCTGGCAGCCTTCTTTGTGGCAGCTGCAGGGCATGGCTATTGTTGACTCCTGGCGTACTAGGGTGCCAAGTGTGCGGGCACCCCAGGAGTCTATCACTGCTCCTGGAAAACAACATGAAGCCATGAAAAGTTCCTAGCTAGTGAATATACAAATTGGATGAGTATGTTTTCTGAATGAACCGCAAAATCAGTCCACACATGTCATCGAACAAAAGCATTTTATCTGTGTTTTAAAATAAATGGCCTTTATTGAAAGGAAGGATGTGACTGGCATTTGTTTGGCGCTGTGCCCCAAATCTGGGGTGTGTGGTTGATGTTCACAAGAAGGCTGGTGGTTGTTTTCCAGCTCTTCTCTCTAGAGCGGTCGCTCTCTTTGTACAATCTGTGAAGGGATCCTTTCCCTTTCTAAAGCTCCGGAGTCTTTAATGAACACAGGTATATTGTAACTTGCAGTTTAACAGCAAAATAAAAGTGATGATGTATGGTGAAAAAAAAAAGAAAGAAAAACATATAGTGTGTTACTAAATAAGTAGGTTTCTGCACTTGAAAACAAAAATGAAAAAAATACAAAATCACTTAATAATCTGTTCTGTGTTTAGTTATCTATGTTCTGTTTTATTAAGATGCATTTTAATTATAGTAACTCTGAGGAATTAAGATCTTTGAGTTTGAGAGATAGCTTAAAAGACTGAGTGCAGGTTTGCTATTTGGAGTCTATTCTCAGAACTACTTATCTTCCTCAAAGCACTTCTCAGAACAATTCCTCCATGCAAACATGAAAGTAGACCATGAACACTCTCAGGTAAAACCACAAAGCAAAACAAAACAAAATAAAATAAAAATACTAACACTGTGTCTAACACTAAATAGCTCCATGCTCTAGGACAAACCTCAGAACCTTCCTGATTAACATTTATTTCTCTCAGTAACTCATCCTTATATAGGATTACTCATTTAACTGGAGTCATTTTTAGACATTGAAAACTTCAAATCAAGTTGAATCAAACAGTCCGAATTCTTCTTTCTAATAAATAATTTTTAGTTCATTTTTGTATTAATATTTTATTTTTGCTGAAGTAACAAATTTGCAATAAGGCTTATGGTAGTGATTTTCAGTTGTTTATCCCCATCACCATGAAAGTGCCTAACACTTTATACCAATGACACTTTCAGTCCACATCTTTAGAAGTTATACATACACAGAAAATATGCTTAATTGATTAGACTATATCATTCTATTTGTTTTCAATTTCTTCATTTTAATACAACATTGGCACATACCATTATTGACTCCTATTTGAATTTGGCATAGCTAAGACAAAAGCAATGCCCCCATCAATGTTAAAACAAAAATTTTAAAAAACCCAACAATTTGAAATTCACTAATAATTGCCAGTTACAAGTAACTACAATGGAATGAACAACAATAACCAAACAACCCCCCTATAAAAACCCCTCATATTATAATTACATGAATTATAATTAACATTATATAGTAGTTCTGAGAAGTGCTTTGAGGAAGATAAGTAGTTCTGAGAACTACTATATAATATATAACTATATTATAATTAACATTTATTTCTCTTTAAACACCATTTATAAATCTTGTAAACCTCAGTCTCTGCTCTGGTTCTAATTTATCTTTCAAAGTCAAAAATTAAATCAATTATATAGTCAAGCCTAAACTTAGATATTACTGCCTGATAACTCTTACTCTTTACAGAATGGCATTCCTTATAAAATGCATTGATTTGTTATTTTATAAAATGAGTTACCTGCCACTGTATTTTATTGGAATAGACAAGGAAACTTTTGTGAATATAGGAAGAATATAGGAAAACATCTGCAGATGTTTATTTCTACTATACTGATTATCTCTAGTATTCATCATGTTCACTCTAGACATGATCACATTAAAAATATAAGGGTTATAATTTTTAAACAAATCTTTTAAAATATTAGACATCACATTAACATTAAAATGCTAAATTAAAATATGAATTTGTTTTATAAAATAAACTACAGCCTTTGTTTTGCTTTACTTTCTCTACCAACTTTAGTTCCTAAAGAAACCACCAACTGGGAGGGTAATTTAACAGAGAAATTAAGTAAAATCTCTTTGCTAATAATTTTTGAAGGAAGCAAATGCAATGACTTATCTGAACCTTAGAATGAACAGCTAACATGTTACCTTTCAAAACAATATAAATGATATTATTAGCATAAAGGAAAGAAAATTGCACTCCAGATGCTGCATAAGTCAATGCCTTTGCCAAGATTTTGATCAGAAACTTATACTTGGCAATTGGGATTTAGATGGATAAGTGGAGTTTGAATAATAAAATTTAAATATTAATTACAATCTTGCTGTAAAAAGCAAATAATACAAACAAAATATATGTGCATAATTAAATAGACTTTAATGCATTTTAATCTTAAATTTATATCCTCACAGACAGTAAAAGGATTGGTGAAAATAACAAAAAGTTATAAGAGCTAAAATATTGTGTCCTGCATATGCTATATATTCACTATGAGTACTAAGTTGGGGGGGATTAATTATATATGGGCTAAATATTTCATCTCTTAAATATTGTCCCATATTTCAAAGGGTAACAAACAAGGAGGGATTCAAATATTTTTGTTTATTTGTTGTAATTTTTTTGTTTACTTTTAAGCCACACCCAAAGGTGTTTAGGTATCACTCCCTGGTGGGACTCAGGAAATTATACGGGGTGTTAGGGATAAAACCCAGGTTGGCCAAGTATAAGACAAGCAGCTTGCCCAATGTACTTCTTCAGTTCCCTATTTGTCACAATTTAAATGTTAGATTCTCAGAAATATAATCTACTGTCAATTATATTTTTCTCATATTTATAGTGGCAAATCTATAAAATATCAATGAACAATTATATTAAAGATAAATGTGTCCTTATGAAGAAAATTATTTTATGTTGAAAGGATGATTTATTTGTTCTGCAATAAAAAGTCATTAAAAATCACCTAGAATTAAGAAGCAAGAGTTTAAATTAGTGTATAAAATTCATTTAACTTTGATTTAAACACAAATTCTACTCATAAACTCAGTTTTCTTTAATTACTAGTTTCTCAATTCACAAATATTAAGAGTAAAAGTTCTATGCCCATTTGGCACAAAAACATGTTTACTTGAAAAAAACTACTTTCAAAGAGAGTGTTCTGTGTTAATTTTTACAATTTTGAATACTTTATATCTAAACACCATAACATATTCCCAAATCAGCAACTATTATATTTATAAAATCCCTTATGAATATAATTATATACTTTCCTACATATCACTTTTGTACAGAAAATTCAATGCATGGCAAGAGTTTTTGGAACTTCAAATTTTTAAATGTTTCAAGAAGGTATACTTAATTTTTAAAAAGTGTTCTCAAACACTGCATTGGTCTATTTTTTGCTTACTCATGAGAAAATAAACCGAAGAAGTCAATTTTTTTTTTTTTTTTTTTTTTTTTTTTGCTTTTTGGGTCACACCCGAAGATGCTCAGGGGTTACTCCTGGCTCATGTACTCAGGAATTACTCCTGGCAGTGCTCGGGAGACTATATGGGATGCTGGGAATCAAACCTGGGTAGGCCATGTTGGCTGCGTGCAAGGCAAACACCCTACCTGCTGTGCTATCACTCCAGCCCCAAGAAGTCAAATATTTTTATGAAAATTTACTATTAATATCCCATGGCTTTAACTTTAGAATTTACCATTTCTATGCACAATTACCACTGACCTGTTCAACTTCCCTTCATGAACTCTTGGTTGAAAAATATAGTTTACAGAATTCAATGGGAATTTTTTCTGTTAATCAGATACTCAATAACGAAGCCTTTTAGCCCTTCTGGTGCACATACCATGTTCCAACGTTTATTGTAATTTTTTATAAAGAAAAGGATGATGATGAAAAAATTGCCTACCCCCAAATCCCCGCCCCCATTTGCATTCATCACTTTGGTTTCATCTTTAGCCAATATAGATAACATACAATTGAACACTGGGGACATTCTCTCTCTACCAGAAGAGCTAGACTGTGTGTTCAAAAGCTTCTAGAGTTCATTTCAAAGCAGAGCTTTAATAAATATTCAGTTGTGATAGATTGATAAGTGCAATTAGATACTTTCCAAAGTAACAAAATTGTTATTGAACTGCAAAAAAATTGTGTCTAATGTTTGTCTTCTTTAATTTAACTATTCATTTATATATATTTGAAACTTACATCAGAACTTTAAAGAAGTATGAGTCTTAAGTTATTATTCCCTGAGAGTGATGGCATTTTACTTCCAGATCAGAGTAACTTTAGAGAGATTTCGATTAAGCAGATGTCAATTTATTAACAACCCAAAAGGGAATAATATGCTTTTTATTGTTTGCTGACCAACCAAAAGCAAAGATGAAGGCTATATACAAGCACGGTGTTAGCAAATTGCGACTAGTCCATTAATGAGCTCTAAAACCATTAGGTGGGATCATGCTTACAAATTAAAAGAGACAGAGAGACACAGAGATACAGAGATAGAGAAATAGAGATAGAGAAGAACGTGTCACCAAGAAATAACAGATATGTAAATTGATGATTGTTGTTAGAAGTATTATGAATATACTCAATGTTCTGATTTTGTAATAATCAGGACAGGCTAAAATTTTTCAAAAATAAGACCAGGAATGTGTCACCAGACTTAGTTTTTTACCTATTTAGGTTTGGTCTTAGAAATGATTGTGATAAAGTTTTTTAAATGATAGATTATAGACAGGGGTTTGTGGAAAGTAAAGTATTCATTGATGACAGATATAAGGTAAAAATATCATAATCTTAGAGAGTCAATATTATTTTCCACAATTAGTATAAAACTTTTATCTTCTTACTCTTCAGAATTTAATACTATAAACTGAATATTTGGCTCCTCCCTTCAAAATCTAAATTTTAAATATATAATATTCCAAGGTGATGTCATTAGGTTGGACTTCTGAAGTTGACTTAGTCATGAGGGCAGAGATATTTTGAATAAGATTATTTTGTTTAAAAACAAATTAAATGACCCAGAGAGATCCTTTATCTTTTCTACCAAGTGAAAATGCAACAACAGGAACCTCTCAGAGATCTTGAAAATAGTCCCTCACTTGAAAGGAATATATCAGAAATTGACCTTGATCTCTAAGCATTCAAAACTATTTTTAATGAATCCATTTTATATGTCACTAAAATACCCACCAGAGTATTTTATTTTTAATTATAGCAACATGAATGGATCAAAAGTGGAGATGAGTTCTGGCATAATTATGCTAAGAATTCTTTTGTTCTACCTGACATCCACAGAAATCACTCAGCAATTTTCAGCTAAGTAGATTGATTCATTTGGTCACTGCTGATTTTAGTCATGTACTTGTCACACTGATGAGGATTCTGGGAAAATATTCACTTAAGACTATTGAATGCAAAGCACGCATATGAATTTTCTAGCATAGAATAATGAGCTTGGGGCCAAGGAGGCAGCACAGAAAGTAAGATGCTTGCCTTGCATGCAACTGACTTGAGTTCGATCCTTGGCATCATACGTGGAACCCTTGGGGTCAACAGAAGTGATCCATGAACCCTAGACAGATGTGTGTGGCACAAAACTAAACATATAAAATATAAAGTTTCTCTTCAAATTAAGGCTTGGCTTCAAGAAAGAGTAATCCAAAAATCAGTAAGTAGAAAGTTTCAATATTTGAGGTATGGGCGTAAAAATATTTATTCCTTATCCCACATTTTTTTTCTATTTGTTGGCCTGTGGGGGTGCGGCTGGACAAATCAAATAGTAAAGGAAGGGACGAAAAAACACACATCTCAATCTAACAATGAATCCGGTAAGTTCCTGACTCTTACTCATAGCTTTATTCCTTCTTTGCTTTGCTTAATAGTTGATGTTTCCTTCACTCCTTAAAATATTGTCCTCATATCTAGTTACCCCATTATTGCATTTAAGAGAAGAAAATTAAAGTTTATTGAGGTATGCTCATTTTACCAAAGTAATCTTACTCCCCAGCTTCTAGTAATAAAACTAGGAAAAATATTTTTCAATCACATGTAGGTACTCCCGTGATAACACCTATATTGCTTATTTACTCTGTCTCCTGTTTGCCATTTAATAAGATGTCGCTTGAATTTGGTTGTGTCTGATCCACACTGAATACTTGCTCTGCCTAGCACAGTCTTTACTGAATTGTAAAATTAAAAAAGATTTTTTAGGTAAAGTAAAAGTAAAATGAACAAATAAGGAAGTAAACTAATGAAATAGTTATGTAAAAAAATAGAAATTTAAGATCACATAAGGCATGGGAAGCTGAGAAAGATATCAGAACAAAAGGAAAGAAAGGTGCTTTTATGATACAAGGCTTATTTCACAGGACATAGGTCAGAGGTAACATCCATTTACTAAAATAGGGAAATATTAGGTATAAATATTAAATCAAAAGAGAAATTTTGAAACATATAATACACTAACAAAAGCACTACAAAACAAATAAAGAACTTTCATTCATAGCCTATATTGGGGAATCATAAGTGAGTTTCTTCTCCATGAAATAAAAAAGTTATAAAAATATTAGGAAAGAATGTTTGGGGGTTGTATTTCTGTTTCAAGGCCACTTTTGGTAGTTCTCAGTGATTACACCTGGTTCTGTTTGGAGATCACTTCTAGGGAGCTCCAGGTACCACATCAGGTATAAGGGATTGAACTCAGCTCAGCTGTGTGCAAAGCAAACACCCTACCTACTATATTATTGCTTCAACCCGAATGTTTTTTAAGACACTTACCAATAGACAATAGGAATTGGTTATTAGAAAAAAAAACAGGATATAGAAGCTATGCAGCTGTATCATTTTCCATTTTAGAGACAATTCTGAGACTTCAATACTAGAAACTACCCAAAGATACTATAGCTTTGTTTCACACTGCGGTGATACAGCTGGAATTCTGGAGAGACCAAATGAAGTGGATCGGCACCCACTGGTGGCTTACATGAGGTTAAGAAGAGAAAGATGGTCACTTTCTCCTAATCCACCTCTGACATCCCAAGATAGGGTGTGATGAAGTCTGCAATGAGCAACTGCAAGGTACGGATCTCAAGCTGGCTGTCAAGCTACAACTGACATCCGTTTGGTCTTCTTGGCAGAGGAGACCCACTAACCAATTTCTCAGGGAGCATTGGACTCAGGCTAGAGCCAGGGATTGCTCTTTGTAGTAAAGAAATATCAGTCTCATGCTTTAACCAGGATTTCCATGTACTTTGTCCTGTCTCACAGAAAATAATTTTATGAGTACACAAGCAGGGAAGTAAAAACAGATTTTATTTGGAAGGGGATGGAAGGAGAGAAAGTGTGTGTGTGTGTGTGTGTGTGTGTGTGTGTGTGTGTGTGTGTGTGAGAGAGAGAGAGAGGGGGGGGGGCATAGTGTGTAACACATTCAAAGAGAACATAGGCTTCTTCAAGGGTGGAGAAAGCCTCAAGAGGGGAGATGAGGGCAACACACGTGCTAGGGCTCCACATGTACTTATCCACATATCCACATGGGCTCAGACAGTATATGCACATCCTTCCTTTGTTCAAGCTGGCTTTTATAAGATTTCTCCAAACTTCCCCATATAGAATGTCTAGCTTGGTAAGACTCCGTTGCTATCATAGTTGTCAAGGGGGTAGAGATTGGAGTAGTTTATGGTTCTCTTTGAAATTTCTTTCCTGGACTTTGTTCCTGCTGGAGCTTCTCTCAGAGCAGGGTCCAGACTTCTCTGGGTCTGTTGGAACCAGGTGAAGCCTTATCAGGCTTTAGCTAAGGTAATCAGTATTTCTTTAGAACAATCTTAGAAATTTCCATGCATATGGAAATAGCGTCTATTCCCACCAATCATAATGGAAATTATAAGTTACAAGGATGTTTTGCAAAACATCCAGAGGCTTTATTTTAATAAATTAACCAATACTTGTTATCCTGGGCACATAAGAGCTGAATGTATAGCACGATTTCTTCACTTTTTCTATATTACAGGGGGAAATTTTATTATATGATTTCTATAATTAAAGCTATGAGTTTAATAAAGAAGCATGCTATTTTTATCATTCTTTAATTTCTTACTACCAGGCAATTTGGTTTTGGTAATTTTACTGTTCAGAGACTTCATCTGAAGACAAACAAACAAAAAGGAAAACAAAAACACAATACTAGAGAAAGTCAGTTCTATATTGAAAGGAGAACCACAGCAATGGTAATTGAGTTCATACTAGTAGTACTCCAAGAATTGTATAGTTACAATTGTTTAGCTAGACAATTCTTGGAATAAGTTCAGCTCAAAGTGAAGCTCCTGCTCCAAATCATTTATTATACCATTGGAAATAATCATACATATTTGAAGAAGAAAAATAATGAGAATTTTATCCAATATCATCAGAAGTATTATTTGAAGACACTTTGGACATTTCCAACAGAGCAATATAGTATGTGCTCTCTTAAGTTGCATTCTAGCAAGTCTGATTTTTCTATCAGTGACAAAGCTGCATCATGCCTATTACAGGGTTAACATCAGCAGAAAAAAGTGGGATGATATGGTTTCTAGTGATTTTTCATACTTCATTAGTGACTATTTCTATAATAAATTTTTCCACAATATCAATGAGAATTTTTAATGTATAAAATATATTTCTGCATAGCCATTCTTGAGAAAAAATTATGCACATTATAACCCATTATCTTCTATTTATAGCAAGTAAATATTAGTCGCATTTTATTTCCATGACCTCATAAAAAATTGAATTGGAACAAGAAAGTTTGCCAAATATACTTAAAGAAAACTATGTGCTAAAACAACTTAATTACAAAGTCAAGTAAATTGACTTTGTTCAGTATCTTTTATTCAGTATCTAATGGTAGGATATACCCCATAGCTTAAAAAAGTCTGACAATATGAATAATAGATGCATAAAGATGGGTTTTAGAGTGACCAAAGATTAGATTAAATATTTGTAAATATCTTTGTAAATTTTCCAATAGCATACATATTTAAACTCCTTGCTTAATTTCCTATTCTCCCTTTTGGTGGAGAAACCTGCTAGAGAAATATTCAAGAAGTAAGCTGCCATCGCTAATTCATAACCTTGATGCTCAAGGGGACACTCCATTTATAATACTCATAGTCTGGACCATAGAGCCAAGATAAATACAAAACCTTCTTGAAAGTTTGCCATACCAATCAAAGAAATTCACGTATATGCCAAATCTTAGATAACATAAAGGGAAGGGATGAGGCTGAAGTGGTAAAACACTTGCATGTACAGAATTCTATGTTCAGCCCTTGATAACACACAGTCATCTCCAAAGAATCTGGGTATGCTCCCCAAAAATTTAAATAAAAATTTGATGCAGTCATTTCAGTCATTTACTCAACGTTTTTTGGAAAGGATGCCACATATCTTATGGGAGTAAGTCTGTTCAGGACTTACTCCTCATTCTGCCCTCAGGAATCACTCCTGCAGTGGTTAAGGGACCATGTGGGGTGTTCATGATTCAACTGGGATAGGTCAAGTGCAAGGGAACACTTTATACCTATATTATTTCTTTGTTTCTCAAACAACATTTTACGTAAGTCTTTTTATTGCCATAGACATCATAAAAATCATACCACATATTTCTTTTTTAATTTTATTTATTTATTTATTTTTTGCTTTTTGGGTCACACCTGGCCATGCACAGCGG